GGAAGTTCACCAAAGAAGAAGATCTCTTTGGTGTCAAAAGACCCGGCGACTCTGCCGCACCGGGGAAGGTGGAAGTGATTTTGTAAGGGCTTCTCCGCCTAGCTGTGGGGGCTAAAGGAGAGACACTTGTTTTAGTGTAATACTTGGAGGGTGCCTCCAAGGAGTGGACGTAGGTCAAGGTTTGACCGAACCACTATAAATCCGGTGTGTTCTTTCTTATTATTTTCTTCCGCAGTTAATTTCCGCATTTGGTTTTCTTTGTGGTGATTTTGGTTTGAGTTTTATCTTTGGTTTTAAAGTTATCCAATTCACCTCTCTCTTTGTTAGCCTTGGGCTGTTCATAAAGGCTTAACATCCCTAACGAACTTTCAAGTGCCATCTGAGCACTTTCAGTAGAGACTATGAGAACATATGAAACCACAACTATGGGGCCTGTTTAAGGCCATAAATAGCTTTCCAAAGTAGGCAAACAATGTTTAGGTGTTGGGACTCTTCAAATCTTCTTGGTTTTTTTATGTAGATTTTGTCCTTTAGAGTTTCATGGTGAAACATGTTTTGAACCTGCCATTATTTGTTGAGAGCTATGATCAGTAGTGCTCGGATAATGGGAAATTTAGCTACTGGGCTGAAAGTCTATGGGTAGTTTATTCCATATTTTTGTTTATGGCCTTGAGAAACTAGACACGCTTTGTGGCGAGCAATTTATCCATTGTCATGTAGTTTGGTATGGTAGGTCCATTTACAACCCATGATAGATGTATTAGGTGGTGGTGGGATGAGATCCCATGTTCCCCGTTGTTGAAGTGCAAGAAATTCGGTTGCCTAGCCTGCCTCCAATGTGGATGTTTGGATGCTTCCAGGTAGGTAGTTAAGTCGAGTGAGTTGTAGTAGTCGGGATTGGAATGTTGATGAAGGACATTGAGTATTGTGTGTGGTTTTAATGAGCCAGTACGAAGTTTGGTGACCATTAGATGGAGTGATGTATGGGCTGGTGGGATTGAGGTTGATGAAGTAGAAGGTATATGAGATGCTTGGATGGGTTCATTGGGTGCTAGAGTGGAAGGAGTGTTTTGAGCCGACGGCGTTGGGATTACTGGAGTGGGTAATGGCGTTGTGGTGGTGTTGGAGGTGGATGAAGGGTTAAGGAGGAATGAATTATAATGAGGTTGATCATGATTGATGGAGGGAGGTTATGGTTGTTGGAATGGAAAATTGGACTCATCAAAGATGACGTGTCTAGAAATGATAATTTTGTTGTTTGTAGGATTGAGACATTTGTATCCTTTATGAGATGGGGAGTATCAAAGGAATACACATGGGATGGATTGTGGAGTAAGGTGAAGGAAGCCATGGATGATATTGTAGCTCATTGCACACACTGAATACATACGATATGCAATAAGAAGAAGATGGAGATTGTATAATACAATAGCTCATTGCACACACCGAATACATACGGTAGGTATATATGCCTTTGCAGGTGTGCATGAGTGATTCATCTATTATGTTACTAATGAGCGGCTGAGATCAAGTCTGCATGTAAAGTGGCATCTGCTCTTTCTATTTTGCTTTTAATAAGCTTATAAAGCTAAACCATTTACAGTACTCGTAATCTTTTATCATCTCCCCTCTATATTTCTTTTAATACTTTTCTACTAGACAAACTCCAATGGTATAACATGAATTGGAATAAAGTCTCCATCAATTTAATAACCCAAATCAAACGCTGACCCTCTACTTAGAATTTTTTTCTTATTGACCCGGAAGGAACTCTAATTCCATTGGCTTAGCATTACCAATTCCTCTTATTTATATAAACACTAATTAAATTTAAGGGTCACTATTAAATTTAAGAGGAAAGTACATACATATCATAAATTTTTTGTATATATATATATATATATATACTAAATTTTGAAATCGCATAAAAAATCACTTATATTAATTTATTTCATATAAAATATATTTGTTCATGCATAATTTTATTTAATTTAAAAGCTAAAGTAGTACATATCAATATATAAAAATTTTGTAAAATATATGCAAATTCTCCTAAATTTAATTTTGCATATTTAAATAAAATTTCCAATTTCTAGTTTATTTTCTTTTTTTTATTATTATTATTGAAGGAATCCATTTGGTTAGCAGTGGCAACGAATTTAAGTTCCCATGACACGAAACACAAATCAATCTTAGCAAACACCATTTGAACCCTTACAAACGTTACCCTGTACAACGTGTTTTGGGTACTATAAAATCTTTATACATAAAATATATAATCCTGATCTAAATTAAAAGTGCAATAAAGAACAGAGAAAAAAGAAAATAAAAATACAGAGATTGGACTACATGCCCTGCCCTTGACTACAATTCACGTATGAACTTTGCGGGGGAAGCAAACACAATACTGCTGCAAGGCTCAAAGAATAACGAAACAATAGATGACATCTCCCCTCAAACGCCAACATCCTACTTGTTCGAATTGCTGCTCGTGGCATTCGGCTTAGAATCTGGGTTATCACTTTTGTCCGTATCAGAGTTATCTCGCTGGGAGTCTATTTCACTGCTTCCAGCCCGGTTCCTTCGATGCCTCCTGTCCTGTCAATTAGAATAACATATGATACCTAATGTTGTAACAATATAACAATATATGTCCCAAAAAACAATATAACAATATTCCATTGCTAGAACATTGAACGGTGGGTTCGGGAGCGCTGCGAGAATGATCTCTAGTTTTTCAATTTTCATAAGCTCTTACCTAACAAAGGCTCCTCCCATAATTTATGACCTCTCAGGGCAGAATTTGGCTGAAATGGAATTATGATCATGTCAACTTCACTTCCATCCTCTCTACCTCTCAGTTTATCCATGGGAAACTCAAATTTGATTGGAACTAAAACTTTTATGCTCACAGCAGTTTACGCCTCGAATTCCTATGGTGAAAATCTAGTTTATGTAACTCCTTAAGAGCTATTAATTCTCGAGTTTATAATCTTAAGATTCCTTGCCGTATTCTGGGAGACTTTAGCTGTAGTAGATTCTCTCAAGATAAAGTGGGGGTAAATAATAAGTTATGGGAGTTGAACAATATGATTTTTTATACAAACTTGAACGAGTTGGCTTCTGTGGGTTGGCTTTTTTGTGGCTCAACCAAAGATCGGAGAACCTTATACACATTAAAGTAAACAGGGTGCTTATTAATGAGGATTGGCTGGATCACTTCACTAGCTCCTATAAAGTGGAATCTCCCAATTGCTCAGATCATTCACCCATGATTATTCTCACCACTTCCGACTGCAAATTAAATCATCGTTTCCTATTTAAAAACTACATAAGCAACTTTTCTCAATTTTGGGAAGTTTTACTCCAGGATTGTTTGGTTGGATGAAAAGTTAATGCAATGCATAAAAAATGCTTTGCTTTTTAACTATTTGGTGTTTGGTTGGCCACAGAGGTAAAATAATTTCGCAGTGTATTCAGAATTCCCACCTTAATTCATTTTTGGCGTAAAGTAAACCCACTCAAAATCAAGCAAGAAAGGAATTCATAGGACAGTATCTTATTTGGCACCTTCATTTCTACTCGACATCACTCTTTAGGAGGCGTCCACAATTTGATTTTCATCTTCTATATTTCTCCGTTGTTGTTCGACTTCATTGCTTGCATGCGGAGTCGATTCTTTGGCTCTTCCAGTTTTGTTTGACTTCGCTCAAAATTGACGAAGCCGGCCGTTGCTACAAATAGCGCGGAGAATCTCTGCTCCAACTTTGCCATTCGCCTCCGGGACGACCGCCCTGAATTCCATTTATCTCCACCAGACGATTCTTCTGATTCGCTCGTATCTGCTTCGAAGCAGTGGATGAAGCTAGCTTGATCGAAGCGGCAACCTGGATGAGACGCTCCTTTGCTCCAAGGTATACCTTTACATTTCTAAGCAATGCAATGTACGTCACTCCGTACAGAAACCTTGAGCCGCAGGATGGCCGGACCACCCCATGCAGGAACCTGTAGCTGCAAGGTGTGTCTTATGTGTTTGATCGATTGTGCGACTTCAATATGGAAAATAAATTTAATTTGGGAATATGCACACTAGTTGCTCAATTGAATATCTCATCCAAATGGCCTCTGATTTTAGTTTACTCTACATACACCCAGCCAAACATAAAAAATAGTTCCCCTGCATTCACTTTACAGATAACCAAATAGCCCAATTATTTACTTTACACTAGACTCACTTTACAGCCAACCAAACAGCCCCATAGTGTCTTTATTGAACCCCATAATGGGGACCCTATACATTATCTTTACTCCTTTTTAAGCAAGCTCAAATCTAGAATCAGGAAAGTGGATTGATGCTCCTATAATCTTCTCATCAAATCTTTGAAGTTCCGAGAATTCCAACAGGGTGCATGCTTTTTAAGCATCTGTCATTTGATCCCCTAAATCCTCAACTTAATGCATTGGCTAAAATTTTGGGAGATAAGCTTTCCAACGATAGTGCTGATTGGGCCTCTTGGGTTATTCAAAGAGGCAGATCTAAGTGGTTAAACAAAGGAGAAGACCTTAAATTTCCTTATGGCAAGATTAAGGGAAGGAGAAACCACAACTATATCAAGGAGATTATCACTAATCAATGAACATTTACTTCCACCCATGATATTGCTCTCATTGCAACTTCAAAATTAAATCCCTCTCTGACTGGGAGACTTCAATATCTCAGATTTAACATATGAAATACCATTGGATACTAGATTAGGGGAGCAATGTTACCTAAAGCCTGCATTAAATTCATCAACAAGGTAAGTGCTAGATTTCTTTTCATTGGTGATATTAATGAGAAAACGACTCATCTGATTGCATTAAAGAATACTTGCAAACCTCTACGGTATGGGGGCTTTAATATTCCTGCTCTCAATGATATTGTTTTCGCCTACAATTGTGGCATAGTTTGGAGATTCCTTCACAACAATTCTATTCTCACTAATTGGTGGCAACGTTTAAAATTGCGCAATAAAAGGCGCGTCTCAGCGCATTTTCGACCAATTAAGCCTCAAAGCCTACGCAATAAGTTTAGTTTATGAGGCTTACGCCTCAAGTTTACTGAGGCGCGCCTCTCGCCTCATATATTTAAGCGTCGCCTTTTTAAAATTTAACCTAATTTTATCTTTTTTTTTTTTCAATTCGGACCGCCACCACTTGGCCGACGTGGCGCGCCTAGTGAAATGTCGACGTGGCATCACATGTTAAACCGCTTGTAAAGGTGCGATGGCGAGTCGGACGTTCCGATTTTCAAGTTACAGTAAATCTTTGAATTTCAAGCATTCAGCCCGCAGGAATTCAAGCATTCTTCACTGCAGTTTGCTTCTAAGTGGCGTCACCCCCAAAGAAAAAGGGTATATTAATGCTATGTTTCTGTTTCGTAATGCCGTATATTTGTGGTTGCTATGCGTTCGCCGTTCAAGGCTGCTGAAAGAGTGACTTTCCGATTTATATGCTAAATTCTATGTCATACGCATGGCTTCCTCGAAACTTTTTAATGTTTGATAGCTGTGATGGCCACTCGTGTTTTCTCTGTATTTGTATTGGGTCGTTGAGTGTCGTTTATATGTTTATATAGGTGATTCTTTTAGATATGTATTTATGGAAATTTGAAACGCACTAAAACCTAACAGCAAATTTTAACACCATCGAGTAAATATGCGTAGGCTGTGCGTCACGCAATGCATTCTTTTGTGCGTACACAATGGCATACATGTTGCGTACTTCAGTGCTTAAACTCTGCGTACTTTATGCGTGCGTATAATTTGTTGTATGTTTCCTGCACTTGTGTGTGTGATGTGTGCGTAATATATGCGTATGTTGTGAGTACACTGTGCGTAACCAGTTGCTTATATTTTCTGCGTATAGTTGTGCGTGTTTTGTGCGTATCTCATTTACTTATTTTTAATCTAATCATTTTTTACAATTTTCAGATATATGTTCGCCCAATTACCTATAGATGTTATGTTTCTTCGTTTCGAATAATCTGTGATAACTTTGCTCGGCAAATTACTCCTGAGTCAAGGACATATTGAAAGCATTTAAAGATGAATACAGTTTTGGAATTTCCTGGGTTTGAGCAAAATGTCCCTCTTATTTTGAGCTGATCTCAAGGTGGGACATTTCAAAACAATGCTTTGTTATAAAAGGTCAACCCATTCCTTTCACTGGCTGATGAAGTGGCCCTTCTTACTGGTCTGCCAAATAAAGGAGAATAAATATCCTGCGCCATTCCTTAGCACATTACTTCAGTTACATCAACGGAAATAAGGAATGACATGACGGAGTGAAGAAGCAAACCCCCCCCGGAGACTATGTTAAGAACGTTTATCATGTATTTATTTTCAATTTACTTTTCTTCAACTTAACACTTCTTCAAAACGCCCTCGGTTGATCAAAGAATAGCAAATAATCCAGATGTTTTTTTGTCAAATAAACTGGGCTAGGTTCAATTAGGGAGTTTTTATGTTGGAGAGTTTAATAGGCAGCCTCCAAGATTTTAAATAAGAAGCCAGCAGGTTACATCAACGGTTTTGTACCTCTGCTAATTGTGAGTGCTAAGTGCTAACTGGCTAAATTCATATCAAAATTTTATTGGCTCAATATGAGTGTTAAAATTTTCTTTCATCTTATGGGCAGATTTGGTTCTTGGAGCATACTACTATTCTCATGCTCCCTATGTATGTCTGACAAAAGGCCCCGTTTTCTCGAAGGGCTGATGATATTGTTATACTACAGAGGTGATCACTAACTTATTTGCTAATATAAGGAAAAGTCAGATTTTGTAATGTCTACAGCAGTTTCCCAGGAAGAAATGGATATGGTTAATGTCGAGAAATATCCACCAGACTGCCTACAATCCCTGATTCCCACTCATATCGAGCATATCCACCCATCAAAAAACAACCCCCCTAATCTCCCCATCATACCCCACCTCCTCAGCAAGACCCCACCAATCTCCTTAGTAACGCACATTTAAGTTTTTCTGGCTGAATGCACTTCAGTCTATACAGAAACAATCATGAAATCCTGCACAAGAAACATGCACAAAAACTTTTTTTGAGAATTTGAAAGCAGGCTAGCATGAAAGTTTGAAGATCTTACTGAGAGAGTTGGAGTTATTGAGGTCAAGCTCAATAATTATTATTGATCAGAGCAAAGTAGTTCCTTAGAAAAGATCTATTAGCTTACTCTTCATCTTCCAATAAGAGACAGAGATCAGATATCCACACCACACAGCCCCCAATGAACAAAATGAGGCCAATCCCAGCAAAAGATCCAATCCTACCAAAAGATCCAATCCCAACAAATGAGCCAGTCCCAAGCAGAAATGCAACTTGTTCCATATACAAACCAAATGAACCAATACCAGTAGATAACATTCAAATAAAACCTGTAACTTATGTTTATGCCAGCTGAAATAAAAAAATTAAAGAGGACTTATGTGTTTGACTTCTGAGAAGAGAAAATTTTGTGCTAAAAATGATTTGCAAAAGTACTCTAAAAGGTAAAAAATTACAACCTTTTTTTTGTTTGAAGATCTATATGCATATGATATG